ATTTTCACAGCACATTCATTAAGTAATTAACTGTATGATATACCTTGATGACTACACGATATGATAATTTACACTGCAAATTACATGTTTCCCCAGACAGTGTCCCTTATGGTAAATACATATGTGCTGTGTGTGGAAGCATCCTCTGATGCATTAATTTTGAAGAACCTGTTTCCTATATACAGTGGGTGATCGGTTAACGAACATAATCCGTTCCAAGACTTTGTTCGTTAACCAATTATCGATTTACCATAGGTTTTTACAGGAATTTGATTAATTCGTTCTGGAGACCCCAAATAATAAAAAATATATACTTTCTTACTACATTCATTTATATGTAATAATAAAAATACATATATAAGCAGTCTTGCATTGTTATTAGTTATGTTTTTTCATTTCTGGTGGTTAAAGAATCTGTCTAATGTCGATTGCTTTTCTCTCTTCTTCAGGATTTTCATGAGTAATTAATAGCATTGTAATTATAGAGATCCCCAAGCCTATTAACCTCAACCTGGTTTGTATGCCATTCTAAGACCGTTGATCTGACATCCCCACTTCTTCAAAAGATCTTTAATTAATAGCAAATATCAGTGTTAATCCTCTTTTTCATAATAAAACATATCTCGCCGAGTTTCTTGGTGTTCTTCATTCAAGAGTTCTTGGCATTCTTCTGTTGTCAGATCCGTTTCAGGTTCCATTATGAGCTGTTTGATGTTCTTTATCTCTCAGAAGTGATTCTGTTAGCATACTCCTTTAGCTGTTTGAGTCTTCTTGATTATACTGTATCTTTCTTAGATAAGATTGAACTGTGTCCTACTGTAGATTTGTTCAAATCATACTGCCCAGCAACATCAGCCATCTTCTGCCCACTCTCTACCTTTGCTATTTTACCTTTCAAAAATAAAACTCGACGCAAAACTTAACAAGTGCCTGCCTGACAGTCTCGTGAATACTATAAAAGAATTGTTTCTGTCAGAAAAATAAAAGGTTGGAATTACAAGGGAGAGTTTCAAAGTTCAGAGGAATACTATCTGATCAGTATATTCCAGGTTGAGCGTCAATGTCGACATCTCCAGCGCTCCGAAAAGTTTTGAATTGTTGCCTAAAGACAAGAGAAAATCAATCGGTATTCATTATTTTATGTCGCTTCTTGTGTTTGTTCTGTGAGGTGTTCATTATCCGAACATGTGTTCGTTGTCCGATCATAAAAATCTTTCGTGAAAGTGTTCGTTATACGATTTGTTCGTTAACCGATCACCCACTGTACTTACATTTTATATTCTTCAATAGCATTCAACCCATATGTCTAAAAAATGATTTTCTCTCAATATCTGTTTTACTTTTAGCTTTTTAAGTCTAAGTCATCTTGAGAAATAATTTTTTTGTCATAAGATATTTTGAATATGTGTATGAAGGTGACATAAATGTTTTTATTTCAAGCAATCTTTATAAAATACTAATGATTTAAAATTAAGGCATCGGCCCTACCTGAGGACATATTTAATTATAATGGTCTTTCATCATTTATGTCCTGGGAAAGTGAGAAACCAAACAAAAAAATATAATCTCTAAAATTTTTCTTACACTTTCAAGTAGAAATAAATAATATTTAACAGTTTTTTCCAAAAATAACACATGCAATTTACCAAAAACTTCCAGAGTCTGAATGATACAAAATTGTATCAATTGGCAATGAAAATTTAAAACTTACTTTTCAATTTTCCCACTACTAATTCTACCAGTTATCAGGAATCAGATAGGTATCCTTTCTCTCTTTATATGTATTTATGCTAAACTAAAAAAACAAACTGCATACTATTAAGTACAGTAAGCCCAACAATCTCATAAAATTAATTTGTATAAATTCATTTTATAATAAAATTAAACTTTATAAATGTAAGAGAAGTTGAGTTTGAAATAGTTATTTATGCATAAATCCCTGAAAATGAGCCAAAATGACTTGAAAGTATAAGGGACATAGTTTTTGTGTTATTTATGCTATTAAATTCTCAAATATGACAGAAGACAAATTTCAAATATTAGAAATTAATCATAATTTTAAATTAGAGAAAAATAAAAAAGCAAGATTGAGATAGTATGGTCAAAAGATGGAAGAGGAAGGAGCATAGAACCAAAAAAGAAAATTTATAACAAATAAATAATAGATAAAATATCAATGAAGAAAAACATATTACAATAGTGACACAAAAGATTTACAGGTGTTGTGATGTAAGAGAGATAGTAACAACTCAAGGCATTTAACCTCTATAAAGTTTAATTATTGTTAGTCATTAATTATGTAATTGGAAACTTTTCCTTATTTAAAGTAGATTGTTGGATACATTAAAGAGGACTACTGATTCTGATAACATATAATACAGTTTAATATATATTCAATACTTTTCTGTATATGAATTAAAGTTTTATCATAAAAACATCAATTAAAGTAAATATAAAGAGAAAAATTACAAATAAAGTGTACAATTGCTAATCAAAACTGATTGTTAAATGCAAGTGTTTAGATTAGCAGGGTATAAAAGCTGATTCAAAAAGAACTTTACAACTTTAGAATTTTGCATGTTTTTAATGAGAATACTTACAGAATAAATTGAGACATTAATTTATAGCAAAACCCACTAAGTTTTACCATCAACAGTCATTTTAGTTTGATGTGAGCATTATTTTGATATGTCAGACACCCCTCTTAATTCAATTTCTTGTCAAAAATGAAGAAGGATATCTTCTTCAGTTGTTATTTTGATAACTGAAACAATGACTTTTGAGCTCAGCAAGATTGCAAGAAAGAATGGAATAAATACTCGATTTTTTTTCTTTTGTTGTTTCATTAAAAATCTAGAGGACTCAAATCTGAGAATGATATGCCCATGCTTGACCAATCAATAAATATTTCCCAAGTTAGAGGAAATCCTAGATATCTGTATAATAGTAGGGTGGTGAGTCCTCTTGCTGGAAGTGCATACATCCTTCTGGCCATCATTTAACTGTGGAATGAGAAAATTTTCCAGCCTATTCAGATATACAATATCATTGATGGTTCACTTCATGGAAAAAATAAGAAGCTGAACACTTTATCTTTGCTAAGAGCACAAAACAGATTCACTTTTTGGGACTACAGCATTATATGAGAGAGATTTCATGTGTTTTGCTTTAAATTAATGCCTCAACCAATCCTGTAAGTCTTCTGATTACAACTTATGAATATATTGTATTTACTCAAATAATCCATATACCCCATTTTTTAACATAATGATTAAAAAAAGAGAAAAAAACCTTAAATATGTAATAAATTAAATTAGTAAACTAATTTTGCTAATTTATGCTTCACTTATGCTGTTTTGTATCATTCAATATTATGGCACTCATTTTGCAAGTTTATGTATTGTATTAAAAATATTGAAGGGGAAAAATAAATTATTTGTATATCTTATAGAGATATTTATTAAATGAAAGTTTCTGCAATTTGTAGTAAGTTATTTCATTTTAAAATAAATTAAGACTTCTTTATGTTGTTTAATTTGAACTAAAGGTAAAAAATTGCTAATAGACCAATAACTTAAACCAGGGATCTCCAAAGTGGTCAGTAATGCATTTTTGTAGTGGTTGTAAACAGTTCATTAAAAATTATTAGTCCAATGGGTTAATGTATATGAAATTTCAGGATGATGTAACTTTGCACTCTGAAGTAGATCTTTCCCATGAAAATGGTATGTGGATAAATAAATTTGATGAGCTAGTATTAATCATCATTATTAACTGTATTAGCAAGAAAGAGGGGGTTAATAAAAGGTTGAAGAATTCTTTAAGTGGTCAACAGTCAAAAATATTTAACTGAGAGATAGTTTAAGCCAGTTTATACTTATATCAAGAGATATGGATATAGAGATTTACTGTCCATCCCAGTTGTATTCATATAATCAATATTTAACTTACTTTATTCATTCTCATTTTCATGAAATTAGTGACAAAAACATTTAATAATATTACTCATAACCATAGATTATAAATGATCATCATATTAAAGCAGTATCGTCCAGTTGATAAATGAAATTTATCATTAGCAAAGTGAGTAAAATGCATAGTAACTAGAAGCACTCTTTACAGATTTCATCAGCAAAACAATCAATGTAAATGATAGCATACTTAATATTTTATAATTTCTTAAAAAATATTTTTCTTTCTGTTTCTCACTCATCATTATTAATAATTAAAATTTGTTTCAAATAAACTGTACACTCAAACTTTTCATCATGACTTTTTTGGAAAAAGTGTACAGATTAATTGAGTAGAGTATTAAAAATTTTTATATTGTACTTGAAATGAATACTATATATTAATTTTACAAATTCAAATAATGTTTTTAAAAGACAAATTTATTTCTGGCTGGAACATTTTGCAGAAAAATTGATTTGAATTAAGTGGAATTCAGATCAGTGAGCTATTACCATAACTAATACTTGAAAAATTTCTCTTACTATTATAAGAGAGATTTTCAAATTTAATTCTGCATGTTCACAAAATGTCAATGAATGAAAATGTGATCTCTATTAATTATTATTATTTTTTATTTTGGCAGGCCTTCAATATGATAAGCACCAGTGAGTAAGTATTGTATGTCTTTCTTGAAGTCCAAATTCAACAATAAATGATAATTCACTTTGGGATATTAAGAAAAGAGTTTCCCAATTCTGCCTTATAACAGTTGAAAATATCATAACATCTACTTTGAATGACTTGCAACTATCATTAAGAAAGAGTGTCCAAAATGATATAAGAAAAAATAAATAAATAAAAATTATACAGAAAGTGGAGGAAAACCTACTGATAAATTCAAACCGGCATGCATAGGGACTTTATTATTGACAAACTTCACAGAGTAGCCACAAAACAATAAATATTTTATTAGATAACTTTATTTTTCTATTATAATCAAAACTTTACAAAATTTACTATGTTAAGGAATATTGATAATTATTTCTAACCTGAGATGCTAAAGAAAAACTAGGGCCAGGAGAAATATTTTTCTTCTTTCCTCCACCTGTAGCCGTATTACCTGTACTGTTTGTGGTTGTCTTTCTCTTGCGTCGTTTGCTTGGAGGACGTTGGGTTTCTGTAATAAGTTCATAAATGTATATATTAATAAAAACAATGTAAATGATATCATACATAATATTTTATAATTTTTTTTAAATATTTTTCTTTCTGTTTCTCACTTATCATTAATAAAATGATTTTAAATTTGTTTTGTTTAACATTCAAAATCTAGTTTCCAGTGTATTCATTCAATAAGCTGTTATAATAGATATTTGAAACAATTTTTTCAGGAAAGCTTCTTAGATTTTTTAAATAAATGGATTTCTTCTATCTATAATTTTTAAATAAATGAAATAATAATAATCATTTTCAATGGGAATAGTATCTTCATTTAATATTAGGGATTAGCTTCATAAACTCCCACTAAATTTTAATTTTTAATATAAAGCTAAATATATTTTTAAAACAAAATTCAAACATAGAATATCTTAAATGCATTTTTAAATTAAAGCATATAAAATATATATATTTCTCTGCTGGTTTTCATTTTTGTTTCTTCCTAAAATATATCAAATTACTCAAACACAGCTAAGTGCTCTCTTCATATCAAGACTTTTATGTCTTTGATAAATTTAATTGCTTTCTTAGAGACAATCTATAAAATATTACAAGTATAAGATGCTTTCCAAAAAGAACAAAATTGTGAGCAAAAACTAATATTTTGTTACTCACAATTTTTCATTTTATTCATAAATCTACAATAAAAGTAATATAAAAATAAGATTTAAAATAAATACAGAAATGTCAGACATTCAAAAGAAATAGCTTTTATAGGTGGAATTAAAAAAAAATTAAAAATTGAATTAAGAATAATCTGAAAGACAATATTACAGTTGATAATTAAACATACATGCTTTAGTGTTAATATTTTTCATCCTCAGAATAAATAAATAAAAAGTGCATTTTATTATTTAAAAAAAACATTCAATATTTCAATACTCCTTATATTTTAATTTTAGAATTCAGAAATAAGAGATAATTTTAGAAAAATGTTTATTTCCAGTTTAATCTGTGCAACATGCAATAGAAATTACATCAATTTTTTGTATTTTATGAATATCCAATTTTCATTCTGTATACTAGTATTAAAAATTCAAATATTTCATAACAACAAACACAAGCTTTTTCTTTTAAATTTAATTTATCATCATTTTCACAGTATTATTTCTTCAAGATGAAGAAACAAATTTTACTTTCACTGTAACAATAATCAAGAATTAACAACATTTTTATCATTACCTTTATGCTAAAATTGCAATTATTAATATGATTTGATACAAAAGATAGGAAGCATCACCATTTATTGATGATTTCCATAATTAATTCTTAGAATTCTTAATTCAGTAACATTTAGAATATTAATCTGGTTCAGAATATGACTCAACATATTTGCATATGGAGTTATGGATTTAATGTTTACATGATATAAAAAGCTCTCTTCTAGAAGTACAAATGGTTTCCATAACCATACAGATCATATTTCATTTAAATTGCAAATGGTTTATGTCCACAAACTCTATGATTGCACTGTAGTTCTAAATCATTTAACTTTGTGAGCTAAATGATGTGTCATGATAGATCTGTCCAATTTACAAAAATTTTATGATGTTTACATTTCCAAGACTATGTTCTAGATGTTACTAAATTATTAAAAACCTAGAATAAATAAAATTAACTGTGATTATTCTAAAATATTATATATTAAAATTATCAATAAATGATGACTCTTCCTATCTATATGTTAAAAATTAATGATTTACACTAATTTGTGTTAGTATTTAAAAATATCTACATGATGTCTGATAATTTAGAATTTGACTTTAAAACTTGTGTTTGTTGAATCTAATCAAATTGAAGTTATATTTTAATTGAAAGAATAATTTTAAAAATCAAAGTGAGATAAAATTTAATTATCATTTATTCATGAGTGAAAAAAAAAAATTATTTTTGAATGAAAAATGGATTAAAAAAAAATATTAATAAAATATTTATAATCATTATTGATTTTAATGATAAAATAGTTAAATAAAATATTGAAATCAGTTTATAGAGAGCAAATTTTTGTTTACATATAGTTTTTCTTTTTTCTTTATTTCAAATAAATTATTATATTTAGAACTAAGTTAGACAAAGAATGAAGGCATATGTTTAATTATTGATGAATATATAGAATATAAATATTTCCATGCTAATAGAGATAAAATATTAATTTTTAACATTATTAAAATTGCAATTCAGTTATTAGTGTGCTGAAGATAAGTTTGATAAACACAAATATTAAGATTAGAATTAGTAAATTGTCAAGATTAGGTGTGAATATTATATTTGAAACAAAACAGTATATTTCATGGTGCAAAAAATATATCATATATCTAAACTTTCTTAAATTATCAATAGATTTAGAAACTAAACCCATCAGCCAACACTTATTCACATACCTATGTCCTGACTTGGTTTAAGGTCATTTGCTGGACCGCGATGAATGGGACCTGACAGGATTAACCAATTTTTAATTACTTTTTCTGTGAAAATTTTAAGTCTTGTGCTTTTTGTACATGCATATTTAAAATTTAAATGGAAAAATTCTAAGAATTATAAATTTAAAAATCAGTTTTGAATTGATTAAGATGTGATAAATGGGAAAATTTTTTTTAAATTCTAAGTTTGATTTAAAAAATGCATAAACTAAAAAATTATAAATTATGGTTTTTATGTTCCATAATTTAAATTAGATGACAAATAAAATTTTATAAATAAAAGAAATGAAGTTTTAGTTTCCATTTCCCAATATAAAACTTTCTTTTTTAATTTGAAATGCAAATAATTCTTACAGAAGTTATATAATGTTTCATAATTACTTAAAATTAAAATAGCTTCAAATAAAAGAAATAACAATTAGTATTTTTATATACAAATAAATAAAAATTAATATATATTAACATATTATTACACGAATTCTTATGTAACTCAAAATATAATTAACATAATTTTCTACATGTGATAATTTAAAAATTTAACAATAATAAAGGGCAGAAAGTAACAATTGGATCAAATATCCAATGTTATGTGTGGAATAAGTTGAATAATTGTTTCATTATTTAAAAATATTAAACTGAAATTATATATGCATATTTATGATTGGGACATTTGACAGTAGTAAACTAAACAATTAATAGTTGCTACAATTACTAGGTTACAAACAATTCTGATTGGATATGATGGCAAGTTTACATAAAGAAATTTGTAACTGTAGACAATTCCACAGATTGATTAATAAATGAATTATTGTCTAGCTGAAATGTGTAGAAAGATGCAGCTTAAATTAATACATAATTATTGTAGCAATAATAACTATAATAGTTACATGTTTGTGCTATGCACAATGATTGCAAGTTCAATTCCCATTATATACATCTTATTGTATTATTATATACATAATAATAATTTAATTAAAATTCCAATCAAAATTATTCACTTAAAACCTGGTAATCAGGCAGTTATTAATTTCTGCTATACTGTATATCTGATATTTCACTCAAACTTTATCTGGCTAATCAGTAATTATTTAAAGTTACTTACTTATTCATGGTTTATTTTTTCAATCAGTTATTAAATAAAAAATGTTAACATTTTAGACACACATTATTCATTATTTAATTGTTGTGCATATTATTACAAGAAATTTAAAGACAAGAAACATTACTTACAGTAAAATGTAGCTTTAAAAAAAAATCTCGCATCTTCTGGATAGTGAAGAATCCCAATAATTTATGATAACAGTTTTTAAACTTAGTTTTATATAAATAATACTGTTTGTTTTCAGATATAATAAATTTAATAGTTAAATAAGAATTTTAATTAATATTTATCAAAAGAGTGATATCATATCAAAATTATTAACGTATAACTTTAATAATTTAAATTGCTTAAAAATAACTGAGAAAATTCTTATTACATATGTATTTAATATTAGATGCACCATTTTAAATTTCTGGATAACCAGATAAATTTAGGCTAGATTCTAACCCATCACATGATAAATCTTTAAAATATTTAATCAGATAAATTTATTAGGTTCAATGGTAAATGATGTCTGAAATTTATAAAATTCAAAATTAATTTTTTAAAACTGGTTCAAAATTTAATTGCAGTAATAACAAATTATCTTTCCAGGCATGGCTTTCTCAATTTCTAGAAAAGCAAAAGTCAGTCTAAAGAATCTGCATATCTTTTTGAACTAAATGTATGTATTTATAATCTGCTGAATATATATTTATCATTTCAATCATTGCTTTTTCTTTGTGTAAATGACTACTATACAAGGTATTCTATGTAAAATCAGCCCCACTCACTGGAAGCAATACAAATGAATTTAGGCAAAGGACACTTGTTAAAAAACTTTCTGTATATTTAAATAATGTTAAAATAAACTCACAGAAGAAGCTGAAAGTGGTGACTTGTTATCTCTGCAGGTTTGTATATCTGTAATCATGTTCAGGGTGACCTTATATAAAATACTAATGATAATGGCTTAGATACTGCTGAGAATGCTTTCCTTTGGTTTGCATATGGTTCTGAAACTGATCTTATACACATTCCCTTTTAAATAGCCCATATAAAATTTATCTCACTAATATTTCATCATCTCAGTTGAGACAACTTTAAATGAGACACACTGTACATGGAAATGGCATTCATAGTCCAATAAAAAATAGTTATATTATAAAGCAAAATTAATTTAAAAGTATTTGAATTCAAACACTATTCAAACAATTCCTTTTTATAAAATTTATTTAAATATATAAAATGCTAAGGATACTATAAAAACTATAATAAATGATTCATAAATACTAGTTTATTTTTATCAAACATGGACTATTATTAGTAGATTTTGGAAGAAAATCTTACATAAACCAAACTTTGTCTTCCCAAATTGTTACAAAACATTGAATATCTTTTCATATTATCTTTTAATAACTGGTATTCTAAATTTAAATATCAACAAAACAAAAACATTCAATCTATATCACTTATCATCAATGATTAATCTTTAATGTATATTTCCAGGCATTCCATAATGATAATAATATTTTTTTATTTTTTTTTATCATCATTTCTCTTTACCAGGATCAGTCTCCCTTGTCCCACTATCCGCATCACAAGGGGACCTTTATCTTTATTGCACCGACTTTCATGCTTAAACATTACAATGTATACAATAAAAATGATAACGATAATAATAATACTACAATGTATATTCAATTCATCTTTCATCAAAGTAGCATAATACGTTGTTTTTTTTACTGGCTGTTGTAACTTTTGCCAAATGAAAATGAACAATTTTCATATATTTTAAGAAATAAAGTTCTTAATAAGTATGTAAAGATAATTAGTTCAAACACTATCTTCACACACAAATGATATGAATTGATTGATTGAAATATTGTGAAATTACATAACTTGTATTTAAATGATTATCATCAGATAAATTCCATTTTTCTTTTTAATAAATTCAATATGAATTCCAATAAACATTATTGCAAACCATATGTAAATTCTTATAATCAAATCAGTTTTATAGAATTAATAAATCAAATTCTTTCTAAATATGCAGACAAAAATATGCTAAAATAATTACAAAAAAAATTTATGAATAAGTCAACCAGTACAATTTTTACAGTTTTATATTTCAAAAAAATGTTCTTAATTTTTTAAATTAATATTTATAATAATAAAAAATAACAATAATTTTTTTAATTTAAAAAGTTTATCAGTTTATACAAACATTGCATAACATGAAGTTTTGTAAGTTATTCATATATCTTATTTACTTGCTGTATAAAGAAATTAATTGAATTTAACAGGAAAAAACTGCAACAACTAAAAATTATAGTTCTAATTAATTTAACAATTATTGTACACTCATTACCTTAAAATTTAGTGCACCAAGGAGAAGCTGTTGAAATCAAATACAACTGTACATGTGCAAGTGTAATGGTGATATAAGTAAGTGATTACAAAATAAAAACAAAAAGATCATTTATTGTAGGAAAAACTACAAAGGAGGTTCTAGTATCCTGTCAGGCCACCTCTAGTGTGAATATACATGATGTGATACAAGCAGGCCTGAGCCTACAGGTGCCTACAGTTACTGCAAGAATCTCTATAGTTTAGCCAAACTCCTAGGCTGTCTAACTTGGCATTCCAGGTGATCCCAGACATCTTCAATTGGTAACAAATCAGGGGACTGAGCAGGCCAAGAAAGTTTGGAAATGTGGCAGAGGCAGTCCTCTTACAGTCTTGTTGTATGTGGTCAAGCATTATCCCGTTGGAAAATGGTGAGAGGCAACACATGTGGCTGCAGGATATCACTAACATACCGCTGGGCTCTCATGATCCTTGGATCACTACTAGAGGTGACTTGATGTCGTATGTGATGGCACCGCAGACCACCACACTGGCTAGGGGTGGTGTGCCACTCCAAAGCGTGGGCAGGATTGAGTCATTCACCATGGAGCCTCCAGAACAAACATGGCTGTTGTCAGTGCCCAAACTAAATCTGGATTTTTCACTGCAGATAATCTGGTTCCATTCCATTGCTGTCCAATCCTGTTGGGAGCAACACCATTCCAAACAGAGCCAGTAATGGCATGGTGTCAATAGTTGTACATGTAATGGCCACTGTGATACCAAATGTTCCTCATCCAGGCACCTCAAAATGGTACAGACATATACATGAACCTGTAATGATAGCACCACCTTTGTCCAGATGGCAGACAACAATACAATCTAGTGGTCTTCCAAGGACATACTTAACCTTATCACTGTACATGTACACTCTCATTCATTTGACCCAACACCCCACAGTCGTCAGAATGACCTAGATGGCAAGCTATTTGGCGAGATAACCATCCATCCTCTCTCAACCCAATAATCCTCCCCCCTCTCAAACTCAGTTATTTGTATGGTCTTTGATTGTAACATAAAACATCTCTAGTGATACAGGTAAACTACAGAAAGGATGCCTTTGCGTGCTTTTTTATAGGTCAAGGGGGATGAACTTTAATGCACTGTGCTGGCATTATACAATGAGCCATCATGCTATAACTAATCAATTCCATATCTGCATGCCAAGTTTTGCAGCAATACGACAACTCCTCCTTGGTGTGCTAATTTTTATAGTAGTAAGTGTATTTCTAGCAATTTGTAAAATGTACAATTTATTAAAAATTTAAATTTCAATATCAGAATTAACTTTTTGAAAATCAACTATTGATTTTATTATTATTTACAGCCATTTTTGGAAAAGATAATAATTACAAAATTTGTAATAAATTTCCTATAAGCAAAGTCAGGATGATAACTAAGAAAATGAGAAAAAGAATCACTGCCATTAAAACTCAAGATCCTCTAACAACTTAAAATTATTCATAAATTCAACTTACGTTTCTTAGTTACAGTGGGTGATCGGTTAATGACCAGTTCGGAT